TATATATATATATATATATATATATATATACATACATAGAACAACCATTTTTATCATGTAACATTAAAAAATTGTATCAGTGCATCAGCCAATACCACATATTAAAGTATGAGCAAATGAAAAACATATTGAATTACAATAGTCTTGTTAATATATTACTCATTTCAAAATATTTGATTGATAATTGCCTAATAAATTGAAGAATTCTCAATTCAACAACTATTGTTAGGATTGGAATTTCTTATTTGTTTATAATCTTATAAATTAAATTATATATTCTTTTTATCACTTAATTCTCTTTTGCATCAGAATGTGCAAAATTCATAGCTACTATTGCATGATTACAATAAATTTATATATCATCAAAAGATATAAATACGCTATTTATTAATTATTCTATTTAAAAGTAAATTAATCTTATATTTAAAGCTTAATAAATTTATTGAATATAATTGCAAAATGCAAAATGTAAATGTATAATGTATAAGTGCAAAATTTAAATTTTTCATTAATAATAATTGTGGAATTAATATTTATTCTGCAATTATTTTAATTCTTACAATTATTTTATTTTTCACTATATTTTGACCTCACGAAACAAATATTATCAATAATTGAGTATGAAAAAACTAATTTACAATTGTACTATTTTATTATATATTTGAATTAACTTCATATGCACATTTAATCGGTTTCTTATGACTTCTTTTACCGTTTATCTGAGTTAAACATGTACAGTTAAGAATTCGTCATCTCTAATAATAGTATTGATTTTATGTAAATTTAAAATAATATTTCTATTCCCTTTCTTTTGTAGAAGGTGATTATTCAATATTTCAAAATGTTAAATATTTGATTTCGGTAATTATGGATATTAACTATTTCTATACATACGTACGAATATATAGATAATGAAATATTTTACTATATAAGTACTAATATGAAATTTAAAAAATACAAGAAGAAAAGAACATTAAAATGATAAGAAAGGAACTGCGTCGCTGAAAAATGTTAGCATTTTCTTATTTTGCAACCTTCTTTTTTATAATTCTCTATTTTTTACCGTTGGTTGCATTTTCTGTAATTATCAAACAACATATTTTTCTCTCATAATTCGGTATTTGAATCTAAAGCATTATGCGAACTGTAACAGAAAAATGTTCAAGAACTCAGGTCGGTAACGTGTACCGAACAATTGTGGAGGCTGCATAGACCGTAAAAATAGACTGTTCGACAGGTAAGAACGGGCAAGAAAGATTTTTGCGTCGCTTTCTTGCGGTATTTACAGGTCGTTTACACCATATGTTTTCTTATTACTAATTTATTATTTACTTACGTAAATGTCTGTTCATGCACCTATATCTTTTTTTAATAAATAAACGAAATATTTACCCATTTAATAATAATTAAAAAAAAAAACTATTAAATCTATCATGTACCCAAATAAATATTCTTATTGAATGAAATTATAATATAAAAAAATAGAATGATTAGCAGTATAGCATAAAATATTAATAGAATAGGATAAACAGAAAGATATAGAAAATATTTCAATATGTGCTATATAAAAGTGTAAAAACTTACAATTGCATGATACATGTGTTCATATAAGGTTTTATTGTTTATAAATTTTAATTAAATTATAAATTATATATATAATTCAATATATATAATTCAATTATATATGGCATTATATTCGAACTTATCAATTATCTTAATCAATTGTTAAGTATTAGAATGGATGAGTTTTACTTTATAATATTGTACTTTACTAATTATTTGTGTAATTAAAAATATATATCTTGCTCTCAAGTTACCAAAAAAATTAATAAAAATTCATTTTAAAAAATTCTTTCAAAGCGCATATACACATTCATCGATACATAGATGTCTATCATAATAAGATATGACTGTCGTTAAAACGTGTATATCCTTCATGTGTAGAATGCAAAATATATGAGATAATCAAAAATAGATTGAGTGACTTCGCATTCTACCAAAAAGATTAATTGTACATAATATGAAATTTTCTGATAGCGATACAGTGTCTAAAGTAAAACACATATGTTACAATGCAAAACGAAAAAAGATGAATAGTAATTGTAGATACTACAATTTTTATTTTTAAGAACGTGTTTATTTATTTACTTTCTTTGCTAATTTATCTTATTCAAATTTCATAAATAAGAAAATGAAATTTTCAACAATATATTCATGCTATATATAATATATTACAAAGTTATCTAATTTGTGAATAGTAAATTCAGTTCAATAATTGACTTTTTTAAATTTTTTATAAATTTTTTATGGAGTTTTTAAATCATTATAATTTTTTAAATAAAAATTATGAGTTTTTATTTATAAATATTCGGCAAAAAGAATATGATTTTCTTTCTTTCAATGCTCTAGATTAAATTACAATTCTAAGGTAAGAAACTCAAAATGATTTGATATGCATGAGTTATATTAGAAAGACTAGTTGTTCAACAATTTCCTTGACAGTAATTGGTCAATAATATGCAATTATTCTGTCTTTCAATATAGAATAATAACAAAAAATTGAAAAAAAATCGTCTTAAATTCTTTTCTCTCACTTACATAAAATAAAAATGAAATTTAATTAATTTCTAAAAATTAATATTCCGTTTTTTTTGTATGAATATAATTTTTTATGGATACAATTGTAATATTTGTAAATTAAATTATTTTTATTCGAAAAATAAATTTTTTATTAAATAATTTTTTATGTAAATATACAAATAAAATGCTTAACTTTATACACATATGTTAACAATATTATATTGATATATAAAAAAGTTATATGTTTTTGAAACTTGAATCCTTTTTTTACAATTGAAACTTTTAATACAATGTAAATTAATGAAAGATATCGATATAAAGAAATTAAATAGCTTTTACTATGCGTTTTATTTTTCTTATTTATAAAAAATTTAAAATCTTTTTTGTATTAAAAATTGAAGTAGAGTAAAAATTAAATGATACTGTAAGTTGAAAGTAAAATAAAAAATCGGAAAGTGTACTCGAATAAAAATTAATTTTACGACGTTTATTACAAAGCACGTTCTTTGACTTGGGGAAAGTCCTAATGTTTTCTTATAAGGCCGTATTTCCGCATCACTGAGAAGAAGCAACAGGATCTCCGTAAATTTAAGATCTTTTGTCTTGTCATCGCCAAGGACACTGACACACAATTTTTTTTTAATTAAGATAGTGAATAGAAATTAAGAATAATAATTCAAATTTATTTGTATCTATAGTTCATTTACAAAAGAGGAAATGCCTGTTTAATTCTAATTCTATAATCACTTATGGATTTAATTGTCATTAAATATCAAAGAATACAATGATGTATTAATTATTATATAAATTCGTTTATTTTTTTAATTTAAAAATTTTTTCATCCATAATAATATTAAAGCTACGAAAGAATTGAGATTTTAATTTTTCTTTTTGATTTCGTTCCCTTTCATTGAAATATTTACTTTCATAGCATGTAGACGTAATTAAATTATCATTAAACTCATATACAAATCAACTTTATGTACTCGATTGTAAGAGTTGTATATTCTGAATAATTATTAGTAAGATAGAATTGAGCATCATAAGTAATTAGGATGTGATCACCTAACTTTAGATGAAATATATTTTCTTTCTCTTTTTTATTTTATTTTATCTCTTATTCTTATTACGATATATCAATATAGATACTTTGTAATATATTTAAGTTCATACAATATACGGACAACTTTTATTTGCTGAGTTCATACCAACCCGAAAAATATAATCAATATTCAAACCCTAATTTCTTAAAGTTTTGGAAATACTTTGAATTTGCAATAACGAATACTATATTTATTTTCCGAATTACAGTAAGCTTTGATAAAGTTGTTAAGACAATATAGTTTTTTTATTACTATAATATTGACATATTATTAATAAATGAAATTCTTAAAATAAAGTTTCTCAGAAGATATAAAAATAAAAATTGGAATAAAAATTTTTATAAAATGAAGAAAATGTTCAAATCTTAAAAAACTCAGCAATAATCAGCATATTATTTAAACTTACAGTTTAAACTTAAAAATGCATATTTTATATTAGATTAAATAATTAGATATAATTGTTTATTCATCTGAAAATATTAAAATTTTTTATCATCAAAAAAAAGTATCACGAAACAATTTTGTATAATACAATATATTTGCATCTAACATTTCCAATTGAAATATAATTTGTGCTTGAAAGAATTTTTATTTTATTGTTTTGCTTAAAATTGGAATATAAAAGTAATGTATGGTTTTATTTAATCCATGAATGATATAACTATAAATTTATATTCAAAATAATAATTTTTTTTTATTTTTTTATTATTAAATTGTACTTTAAAAAGTTTAACGTATATTAATAAATATTTAGAAAAGTCCTATCAATTTACATATTTCTATGCTTCAAGACATATATGTTTAATTAAATGATCATAGCAATACTTAATTTATAATTATTTTGCATAGCAAATGTACGCCCATTAAAATTAAGCAAAATATATTTGTAAAGATTTCTGCTTTTATTTTCAGCAGGCATGAACTAAAAATATGTTAGATCATCTTCATAAATTTTTATCGTTATATTATAAATGATCACTCCCTTGTATTCATGACACATAAATGAAAAACAAATAATATACATTTTAAAATGTTTATTTTTCCTATTAATGAACTAATTATAATTATATATTCATGAATTTAACAGAATATAATGCTAAGTACAAGTTTGGAATTTCAAAATGTTGTAATTTTATGAGCACTTTCCGAACCAAAGATGCGCAGATTTCAAAACTCAAAGTTTTACATCATCACGTATCGATCAGAGATTTTTGCGTACGCGCTATAAGTAGGAAACACTACCGCGTAATTATTTCCTGTTAAAAAGAAAAAAAGCAAAGCGAGCGTATCGATGTGCAGTTTTCGGCTTTCACTCACCCGCGTGCCACGGCGTCGTCGTCTACGTCGTCCTCTTGCCGCCGGCGTCGCCGCTGCTTCCGAACCTCCTCCACCTTTCTGCCGTCACTTTGCTTACTGATCCTTGACGGAAGGGTCGCGCTACAATTTCGTAATTCCGAACGTATGTTTATCTTCCACGTGCGATGCGCTGCTGGTTAGTGAAATGCATGTTTCCGACTTAACAGATTTGCTTCTCCTGGTCCTTGAACGTATCTACGATTTTCGTTTATGTTTCCTTTCCGTATATATTTTTTATTACGTATCGCTCACTTTCTACTCTCTTCTTGCACAACTTTTTACCATTATGTTAAGGTATTCATATAAGACGGTAAAATTAGATTATGCACCTATCCCCTAGAACATAGCATTATTCGAGCTTTAATTTATGCTGATTATTGTTTAGATTAATTTGTTATTAGTAAGGTAAGCTTATTCAATATCTTTAATGATCATAAAGTTATTTCAGATATTCGTATATTGATAGTCGAATACGATACACTTCTTATATTACACCAAAGTTGTCGGTGCATCTATGAATTAACCTATTTTTTATGTTTTTATCTTTTTAAGATATCCCCCCCCCCCTGGATATTTTTTTATTTCAATATTAAAAGCTACGTATATTTAACTGAAATACTTACTCGGAATTCGTTAAACCCTTATTGAATTATCTAGGAATTATAGTCGTAAAACGATTAATAAACGTGAACTCTCTTTTATCAATACCGCTTCATCCTTGCCAACACAATTAGCACTTTCCCTTCACTCGTGTAATACGATAAACAAAAAGAAAAGGAAATAAACACACGCGCACAAACTGAAAAATAGTATAAACGCAAATTCAGCTTGAGGCCAATTATTTAAATAACACTCATTGTTTTGCAATCATTGCCACTCCACGTTTCCAAAACAATCGAATTCCTTACGAAACTTAGTCATCGTGATAGTCGTCCTTGTTTAAATCGATATTCAGGGTCCAGTTGTACGTAGTCTATTGCGTACTATATAAGAAATTAAAAATCCACGGAGCAAATTGGTCGTACAGTGTGCGTATTGTACATGTATAAGCGCCTTCACTCTAACACGAAGTACTCTTTCTACTCACTCTCTCTCTCTCTCTCTCTCTCTCTTTCTCTCTTATCTCTCTTCCTCTCTCCCTGGTTCTTGGGTTCGCTAACCTTCCCGCAAGAAGGCGATCGTAAGACTGAAGACAGCAGCAGCCTTGCGAGTGCGAGTCGCCGAGACTGCGTCCCTCCAACGCCTGACCGGTGCACGTCTTTCTCTTCTTTCGCTCGATCTTCTTTGCCGCGGCGATCTCTACGTTCATGTAATTCTTCTTTTAATTCCTCCCTCTTCGACTACCCTTCCAATCATCATTATTTCTAGTGTAGTGACACCACTACTGTTCCACCCTTTATTTATCTTTCGATATTGCAGTGCAATAGGTAACTATTTTATATACAAGGTGTATGTAGTATTCATGAATCGAAGTATATTATAGTAATATACCATACTAACATCTAATAAAAAATATCAGGTGGAGCCGTCACAAACCATGCACTCCTACATTATTTTCACATTTGTAACTCGCTGGTTGCTTAAGTAAACTTAGCTGAATCTCTGATATCTAAAACTATGTATACAAAATTGTATTTTTTTCGTTACAAGCTGTTCTTGGTCAATATAGTAAGGAATAACTGCTTCATTTAATAAAATTTATTGGTTCAATTAAAAAAATCTACTGGCTAACAATGCCATTAATAATGTTAAACAATTCGTTGTTAAATAATATTTTCTGTAATTTTACACGTTATATATATATATTAACAAAATTTATTAAAATCATTAATTTTTAATTTTATTTAATTCACGCGTGCACACACATATTTACATATTGAGAAGAGTCTTGGGTAATTAATTCATTTTAATCTAACGTATTTAAATTAATTAAAATATTTTATATAATTACGATTTTATAAAATAAAAATATTACAGGCTATTTAAATGTGCAAGGAATTCTACTATTAAGTAACATTGTTTTTTTTAAATATGGTAAAAAAGAATTCTCAGTTGTCTATTAACATTAATATATTGTTGAGTTTTTCGAATCTGTATTAACTTGTATACAAATCCAACATAATGTTAGTATTGGTCTTACTATATTACTTGTGGCATAAAATTCATCTCTTGATGTTTATAATTATTAGCAGTTGCATGGGAAAACAAAATAAAAATTACGTGCTGGATCTCTAAGACAGCTAAAAAGCAAGCATTTGCATATTATATAATAAGAATCCAATCAGAATTAATTTAATGGTTAGATGGAGAGAGATGGGGATGGGATGAAGAATTAATGAAATAGGCGCGAATAACTAAATATATTCATGCTGTTCGTGTTTTCTCTCTTTGATATTCTACCTTCGTATTAAGATTTCGAATTCATTTTCTACTTACTTTTTACATCCAACTTCGAAAGTGACGATAATCCAAACATCCAACTGCATGAAAGATTGAAAAATTACTTTTAATATTTCAATTCAATCGAATAGTATAAACTGATTCAAAGTACTGAAGAATATTTTTTGTATTTATTATTATAAATTTTTAAACTTAAAAAATTTTTTTTAATGAATTATGTAAAATTTTTTTAAATTAAACCACAGCTGACTTGATAAAACATTAAATCTACAACATTTTAATTTAATGCTTCATTTTAATATCTAATATTAATTTTAAATTATGAATAATTAAGCAATATATCTACAATTACATTATATTTACACGATTAAAATTTGTAATTAAAAATTAACTATTTTATTTTATTCGTTATTGCAATGAAAAACTAAAATTTATTCTAAAATCTTACCTATTTTAAATCTATATGCTAGAAACTTTTTTTATAAAAGATGTCTTTAATTGAGTGTATGTCCGCGTGAATCGAAAATCATAGTGATCGAATAAGAAGATAATAGCATAAAAAAGTTGTGAAAGGTATAGGTAAGAGTATTAAAAAACTACCAATATATATGTTATAGATATATACAATATTATTACTTGTGAATATAAATTATATTAAAATAAATTATTTAAAAACAGAACAGTCTGCCGTTACATTTAAAAAATTTATTTATAGTTATTATGAATAACTTAAAAACTATGTTTTATAACTCATATTTCATGATATTATGAATAATTAATTTCATTAAGACTTACAATCATGTATATATAAACAACTTTGTAGAAAATTATATTTTTAAAATTCAAGATAAGATTTTATAAATACAATTTTGACATTGCATTTACTAAAACTATTAGATATTATTTCATTTCTTTTCCTCTTAATCTAATATCACTTTCCTAGTTTATTTGAATCGATTCGGTTGTGCATTATTTTTTTATGTTTTACTATATTATACGCATTCATTTCCTAATATTGTATTTATATTAAAAAATTGTAATATATAATAATTTGGATTTTAAATTCAGTTAAATATATGTTCTTCAACCCCATGGCTATGAATTTTTTCTATTATCTTATTACATTAATAATAGTTTAAATGTTTTAACGTTATTGTTTTTATATTATATAGAAACAGAACCTATATTTGAAAAGAGTTTTATTTGAATTCGTAAAAATTTGTATACCTAATATTGAATAAAAAATATGTTTCCACATTATTAAAAGTTTTATTAATTAATATTATCCAACTATATTTAGTCTCACAAATCTAAACTAGTAGTAAATATATTATTATTTATTTCTTGATATATTTTCAATTATATATTATCCTTGATTAATTTCATGTAGTATATATACACATTTCATGTGTAACGATATTTTATTTTTACAAAGTTAGTCTTATCTAAATCACTCTAGTTTTCGGTAGTATTTCGTAATATTATAAAATCTTTTGTACATTGAAGTTTTCATTGTAATATTTTAAGATAAAATATATGAATATGTTAAAATTAGAGCGAATAAACAATACGAATTTACTTAATAAACAGTATTGCATTATATGTTTAACTACACTAGACAGAATTTATTGAAAGAATTTATTGAAAAATTAAATTTCATAAATTAATGCTAAATAATTATAATAAAAACATCCTATTATCAATTTAAAATTTTATCAAATCATTAGATACGAATTTTTATCCAAGAAAAATAATAAAAAAAGCAATTTAGTTCAAGTTTTAATAGCAACCTTACTTCTTTCAACTCAGCCTTGAAAATCAATGCTCGCATTATAAAAAACTCATTGAAAGAAAGAAAGTGAAAGGTATCCTCTCGCAATAAATATCCCATCCGTGATCTTCGACGAACAATAGATTACAATAACGGAATCGCAACAACTGCCGTCGCCTCCTTTTAACCCTTCGCCGTTAAATTCACCACTGTTGCCGACGTCGGCGGCGTTATTGTCATCCCTATTATTATGGCAAGTATTAGGCAGGTTTTACCGAAATTGCCACGCTCTCACTTTCACACGATCACCGTAGATACGATATACTCTTGGCGGTACCGCCGACACAGATGTCTCTCCGGCTTAATTGGTCCGCTTAGATCGCTAAGAATCAGCGCCGTGTTGCTCAACGGTGTTAGTTTCATGTAAATACTTCTGTAGAAATGAGCCGGCAATTCCGTTTACTCTTTTATCTAGCTAAGAGTTCTGTTCATTTTTTTTTTAGAAAGTTTAAGTATCTGGAAGCAGCTAGTCTGTTTGTAAGGAAGTTCTTCAAAAGTGTGTAATCCGGGTAAATTTTGTTCGTAGTAAAAATAATACTTTGGAGGAAAACTATTAATTTTGTTCTTTAATTATCATCTACCAAAATTGTTCTACGCAGCATAATTTTTTGGTCTGATAAAAAAACGATTGTTGTAGTAATTTGCATGTATATGAACATCAACTCGTAAAAACGCCCGTTAGTACGCAAATGGGTGTGTATATAAATATATATATATATATATATATAATTTGAGCACAGTTAATATATTTATATTTTTTACATGAAATTCTCTAGGTTTAAAAGTAATTATCAAAATCTATTATCATGAATTCAAAATTTTAATTTCCTATAAATCAATTTTACATATAAAATATCTATTTACATAGATCCATTAAGTTGATCTCCACTAAAGGTCGAACATAAAAAAATATTTAAAACAAATTTTTAGCTATAAAAAATAAAATGAGAAATTACTAGACCATTACTGTATGTATAATCGATACATTAATATTACCAAAATGTATGACTTTCACGTATCCATAGTATATCTTTAAATTTCATCGTTTTATCTAAAATCAAACTCAACATATCTATATGAATATGATAAAACCGAATAATAAAACTTTTTT